GTCAGAGCGGGACTTGAACTCGGGTCCTCAAAATTGCAAGTCCGGCGCTCTAACTACTCGGCCATCCTGCCATGGCTGACCAGGCAAGATGAAATGAATTCTGTGTTCTGATTGTCAACCTGGGTGGGCGGGGTGGGTCTTTCTTGCTCAACGCTCGGGATTTCCTCCTTTTTCCGCAAAAAAGGAAAACATTTTGGCCATATAACAAATCCTTTACAATACAATACAGTAAATTTATTTAAGATGGAGTGGTAACAAACTATTGTTAAAAGTTTTTTTTGTTCAGTGGCCCTCAAAATTAAGGGAGGAATATAATTATATATACAGCAACACAATATTGAAGACAAAATTCGATAACTGCAGGGCTAAAAGTTAGCTACTAACTGGTCGCATATGCGACTGGATTGTTGGTTGTGCGCCTAAAAATTCATGTGTAATCGCCCCTGTGCGCCGTAAAACCCAAAGCACAGTGCGACTGACTTACTTCCGACTATACTTACGAACTCGAAGTAGAAAGACGGTGTATGTTTAATTGGTCTTTTCTCCCATTCTACGAACTCGAATGTTCTTTTTCGTTTCGATGTTTTACTCCATCCCAGACTCTTCTGTTTTGTAATAAACACCGCTGACAAATGCAAATATATGCTACGAGCGAAACACGTACTTTCTGCGCAATGGACGATCATGTCGAACGTTCAGTTTTAACGTCAATCAAAACAAAAACAGTACGGATTAAGAGCCTTTTTTCCAGGTAAGAAACTTTTTAAGTTGTATTCCAGTTACATGTAAGTCATAGCGCATTTAACAAATTCATTAAAGATCGATTTTCATTCTCGTTCGACACACTCATTGTTGTCAGTTTTGAATTGTTTTTCAAGTGTAAGTTTTCTTTAGTCACAACTGTACTGTCAAAAAGAGAAATTAGTATTAAAAAATCCCAACGGTATTACTGCGTAGCAAATCGGCTCTGTTTTATCAATCACAGGACTGAAGTAAAAGTAACAAACTGAAGATGACAACTAAAGGCGGCACTGTTAAGCTTTTTACTTTTTCTTTCGAAATAGATGCTCCCAACATTATAAGCTGTGCTCCTAAAATTTTCGGCTGTGCGCCTAAAATTTCGGTAGTGCGCCTAGAAATTTACATCTGGTAGCACAAGTGCTCCCAAACTCAAATTTAAACTTTGAGCCCTGTAATTACAATAGGACTATGTTATAAGTATATGTTTAAAAAACGAGCAGGAATGTTTAATCAGAAAAGGCCGTATTCACACATTTCTTTATGAAATATTGATGCGTTTTTAAACATAATTTACCAATTCAGCATTTTTACATAGACCATAATGCACCTTGTTTACCCCCCAAAATTTTGCATAACCATTGCCTTGGATTCCTCTTGGGACGACTGTTATACCCAGGAGACTTCGTCTCAGGTTTGCATAACTGTCTCGAATTCTCCCAATTCCTCTCGTGTTTATATTAGGCTATGCAAACACGGAAAACGTTTTCTATTGCTTAAATAGATCGATTGGGAGAAAAGGAAAGTAAGTAAATCAACGTTATTATTCATTCAAAATATTTCCCCGATTCTGATTGACTAAAAGCACACGCATGATTCACCATAATTAGCTACCGATGAACAAATTTGAAATAATTTTTCAATTAATGAACCGACGACCATGATGACGTCAAAAGTGCAACTTCCTTGCAGGTTAATGCACCGTTAACCGAAAATACCTGGGGACGAGGTTGACTTGTTTTGGTTGTGAAAACAAAAATGGCGGACATTTCACTCGTTTCAAGAGTAAGAACTAGGCGAAATAATAGCTAAAAGCGTTGCAAGAACAGCAAGAAGACAACTCGAAGGGCGACATCTGCTATTTGGAGAATATTTGCGAAGCTGAACAACCCTAAACGTGCACCATCGAAGATGAACTTAACATTGATGGAGCTAAGCATGTTTTAGCTATGTTTGTAAACTAGGGATTATTTTGAATGAATAATAAAACAATTATTGAGTGTTATCCGCCTCGGCCGATAACACCCTCATAGCTCTCCATAATTCTTCATAAGATACTCAGCCTCATTCATTAATTGTTAATTACCATAAACACGTATTGTTGATATCGCCACAAGCAACAAACAGTTTTTGAAACAGCAGTTTCGATTGAGTCGATAACAAAGGATTTAATTATGAGACAAAACTACTTTCTCATGTCGCCAGAGAACACCAATTGATGGGTATGATTATGAGGAAATTGAACCACAATTATTGCTTTGCGATATTTTCAAATTGCACGCAAAATACTTATCCCAAACACTAGATAACACTCCATTAACGCAAAGCAAAAAATCTGCTTATATTGGCCTCGTTCTTTTGTTTTGCGAGCTAGGTCAACACCCAGCCATCTTGACCAAATATTTTAATTTTTGCTACAACTATTTCAGTTATTTCAGCATAACGTTAACAAGCCACCCCCTACTGAGTTCCTCGAATAAACGCGCTCCTTTGAATAAGGCCAGAATTTTAAAATATCCGAGGGCGAGGAAATGAGACGAGTCCCCTCTCTTCTACTCTTTGGGAAAGAATGTAATGGGTTACATTAGATTGTGTTTAGTTTTAGATGGTAGACTGTATGCCGATCCGGAATCTTTAGAAAGTAAATGCAAAAATCCTAATAATTTTAATTATACTTAACAACAATTCGCGTTTTTAAGGTGCCCTAATCGAAAAGTGATCTCAAAGTTACTTTAATAAAAACTTTAGCGATGCTACACATTTTAGACATCTAGGTTTTGTTTAAAACCTTAGAACTGCTTTCTCAAGCAAAGCAGAGCGCAATATGAGTATGACCTGGGGCGTATTTTTTAGTATGCATGGTATATTTAAAAGCTTATTTTCTTACTGTTGCAAAAATCACCATTGCGATAGTGATGATCGATGCTCGAGAATATTATAAGAATATTAACCCACTGGGTCTTAGCGACAACCACAGTTTTGCTATTTTGTCGGCATGTGTCATGAACTGTCACACTTCAGTGGAGTCAATATTTTAAAAATTCACTGCCAGCCCAGTACAGCAAAACCGGGAATAAAATGACCATGAGCGATTGTATTGTTTGATAACCACATACGTAGACTACACGCATGACAGAGTAAATAAGAAACTTTTAGCTCGCTTTAGTATAGTTTAGTTTAGTTTAGTTAAGTTTAGTTTAGTTTAGTTTAGTTTAGTTTAGTTACTTTTGAACTAATTAATTCATTAATAAATACTTAATGACTCGCAAATTAGTACAACTACGGTAAATAAGTCAGTAAATCAACATAACATAATGGCTTAAATGTGTGTCCCAGTTGACAGTACTTTTCTACTTTCCCTAGTTGTGACTCTTAAACATTACAGTTACCCTACATAATAGGACAGATCACATACAAACTTGAGACGTACCAATACGGGATCAGACTATAATCTACCTCCATTATTTTATACCTCGACGGGATTACTATGCGATTGCTGCTGTACTTGATCGGTATTATTTGATCGACCATCTTATTCCTTCTCTAAGAAGAAGAAGTGAGTAAGTCTCATAACGGCTCCAAGAACAGCAAATAAACAGACGCAGATGGTGACTGGCAAGGAGTACCAGGTGTGAGGGAAATGACTGAAATAAAACAACAGGATCATGATGATGTTTTCTATCACAAAGAGCACGTTGGAGACCAACCGCATTCTTCTTGCATGTTTGTCATCTATTCTCGATGACAAATCATCTCGTAGCCAATGGAAGCAGACAAAGAAAACCGATAAAAATGCCTTTGTGCAGCCAAAGCTTTGTCCTTTACATTGGCAAACGGTGTCACATATCGTTATCACCGTACAGTGAACGATCAGAACACCAGCGACCCACCACGTGTAGCTTACGGTGAACAAAGCTACTGCAAAGAGTCGACTGCTTAAAGTAAATAAGTGCGTTACAAAAAGTAGAACTGTATCTTTAAAGCTGTAATCGAGCTCTCCTTCGGCAATGTGAAGAAACTCATCAGCAACGATAGACCCCCAAGCCAAGCTGAGGAAAGACACAGGCAGGGAAACCATTTGAATGATCGTCACCGATTGCTGTTGAACAGCCATGGCGTGCAGCTGAATAATAAACTGAGGAGCTGATTCAAGAGCGGCCTCAGCCAGAACAGCCAATTTTCTTGACCACAGTAGCTCATCCAAGTCTTTATCCGTTTGATCGATGTTATTACCTTGACTGAGCCGTTTTAGTAACTTCTTTAGGTAGACATACAGCGTTCGCAGTTTCAGCCAGGCCGGAAGGAGTGGATTGCATCCACAGACTAAAACACAAGTGCCTTTGCAAGCAATCGACACGCAGCCTTCCTGTTTTAATTCTTGATCATCGCTCACACATTCAAAGTTACAGTTAGCAAAAAGAAAAAACAAACATGGCAAAATAATGAATATTAGCCCCACACCGAACCACGTCTTGTGATCTGCGCGGTAGAATTCTACTAGTGTAAGAGTATCAGTAATGGGGTCGGCAAAGCTAAGAATCCTTCCAAATAGAACCACGAAGATATCGTACCATTTGAGTTCGTTTTCCGCCATTTCTTTGACCTTTCTGACTTAGCTGCTGACTGCACAAAACAATAAAGAACGTCCTGTCTCATTGACTCGTGTTTATCATGGTTGGGAAAGTTGTGAACTATGTGACCCATAAAATGCACTTATTGAATTAAAATGGAAATTCGTAGTGAATGGCAGTTCATGTTTTATACTTCATTTATTTTCACAAAAGAGAATCAGTGTCTTAACAAATTATCTCGTGACGTGTGATCATAAATCATCATAAGCTACTTTTGGGCGCTTTCCATTCATTCAGCCCAAAATTGCGGAAACTTCGGTTAGAAATCAAATGGAACGGATCATTTCGGTTTAGTCCGATCGGAATATTTGGCAACACCACTGAAGATGGTCCAATTTCATCGGTCCTACTGGGTTCCTTTCCATTTGCCAAATTGCTATACCAAGTACCGCTCTTTTGTATGCTGCTTACAAGTACGATAACCAAAAGCGCGGTACCTTGGATTGGGTCGTAATGTGCCGTTCCTTTGGGAACATGGGGTTTCGAAATTTCAAGAAACCGGAATTTTTGTTGAATAGTAAGCTTAGTCTGCAGGCAACACATTTCGTGGATAAGTTCGGTCAATCTGTTAGGAAACTTTTAAAACAAAGCTGTTTCTGTCAAATTGGTTTTGTTTAACACTTCAGACCTGTTTCCTTTTTTTACACGCAAAACAGAGCATTATCATAATTTTGATCCCGGGGCGCTTTTGTGGCTCATGACACGTAATGTTGATATGGTAATAGTTCATTAAGGACTGTATTACAAGTTCATATTTGCTGTTAATTTGTTAGCAGCTGTGATAACTTGAGGTTTCTTAGCGTTACGGTCTAAAATTCAACTGAAAATAATATGGTATAAGGTAATCATTTCTGAATTCAAGCGGTTCACCACCGCCCTCCCACCGGATCGCCCCGGCCATCAAGACATATTAGAAGGGAAAAGGCCTTACTTCCAATTGATGTGCATCATAAAACCAAATTCAATAAATGTTTTATTATTCATGCAAAATATTTGTAAGCTTACCTCCTCGAAGACTTTTTTTCCAAACTTTGGCCTGTTTCTCGGCCGATTTCAAGATATAAAAAGATGTATTTTCTTACAGATACTTCTCAAAAAGTAGACAACATCCATTAAGCAAAATGTTTTGTGTATTCTCATCTGCATATCTTCCGTTCAGTTTTAAGTGAACGGATGATCAAGTATACAAGAAAAAATGACTCGATAAAATAGCGATTTAGAGTGTTATTTTCGGTACATACTTAGAGGGAGCTACAAGTTTATTTTCAGCTTACTAGTTTGGTTTTGTCTATAGTAAAGACTAGTCTATACCACTGCACGAAAAATTAGATTTACACAAATTTACTCGGTGCAAATATGGTGCAAAAAAGTGCAAACTAGGAGTATATATAAATCAGAGGCAAAGATGAAAATAAATAACGGTAAATACAGCATTTGCTTGCCAGTTTACATGGGGTTGTAAATTTGAGGGCAAATGCGGTATTTACCATCTTTGCCTTATATTTAACCTAAGTTTGCACTTTTTTGAACCAAATTTGCACTGAGTAAATTTGATGTAAATCAAATTTTTCGTGCAGTGTACCGAGTCCGAGTCTAGTCCAGTTTAGTTTAGACTAATGAATTCGCCAATGTTACTAAAAGTCCTACAAATAAACATGTACAAGTACGGTAAAAAAAAAAAAAAAAAACCACTGGAAAAAAAAAAAAAAAAAAACCACGGTAAATCAATATAAGAAGAACTAATACGGTTGCTCTGAGTCGGAATACATTATGATCACAGATCATGCACAACTAATTTGAGGTGTTCCAATCCAAGTTCACACTGTCATCTATCGCTTCATTTTCCAGCTTCTAGATTGCGGTAAATGACTAACTACTTCGTCAGCATGTTTTTATTTCTTCGTTAACAGTGACTGGAATTGCTCCGAACCCGGAAGAGAAAAAAACAGGAACGTGATGATATTTCCCAAACAGAACGCTTTAGAACATTTGCATTGTTCTCAGATTTGGAACAGCACTACTCTGTGACATTAGTACTCCCTCGAATTAGATTAGGCTACAAGAGTAATTATTAGCAAGTTAGTTAAGAATAAAAGTCATCGCTATTATTATTTAACTTTTTCGATAAAAAATAAAAATGAGTAGGTCTCATTATGGCTCCAAGAACAGTAAACAGACAGACGCAGATGGTGACTGGTAAGGAGTACCAGGTGTGAGGGAAATGACTGAAATAAAACAACAGGATCATGGTGATGCTTTCTATCACAAACAGTACGTTGGAAAACAACTGTATAATTCTCAGTTCTTTCTTTCGATTTTCTCTTGGTACCTCATGTATTCTAACTGCTATGTCATCTCGCAGCCAATGAAGGCAGAAATAGGAAGCTATTAAACGTGCAGCTTCCAGTGCTTTCGCATTACACTGTGTTCGGGGATAAAACCAGATGATATCACAGACCACTATCGCCATAGAATGGAGGATCAAAACTTTGGTAATCCACCACTTGTATCGTACGGTGAACAAAGCAATGGCAAACAGTCGACTGCTCAAAAGGAATACATGTGTTGCAAAGCGAAGTAGTCTGTGTATTAAATTTCGCCCCGCATTAGTGACACCTGCATTGTAGTGAATGATCTCATCGCCAACAGTAGACGCCCAAGCCAAGCTGAGGAAAGACACGGGCAGGGAAACCATTTGAACGATCGTCACGGATTCCTGTTGAACAACCATGGCGTACAGCTGAATGATAAACTGAGGAGCTGATTCAAGAGTGCCCTGAAACAGAAGCGCGACATTGCTCTGATGCAATAGATCATTATCAGCTTCTTTGTCACTATTTCCTGAATCCATTCCTGAAACTTTATTGCCACGCCAGAAATTCGTAAAATTCTTCAGGTAGGAAAACAGTGTTTGCAGTTTTAGAAGGGCTGGAAGAATGGATTTGCAGTGCAAAGGATAACTTGCGTGCACCTCCTAGCGATGCTGACCTTTTTGAATTCAGACTTTTTTAAAACATAATAAGTCCGTAAAAACACAAAACAGGGAATAACGACGAAAGTGAGCCCTACACCGAACCATGTCTTGTGATCCTCGCGGTAGAATTCCACCAGTGTGAGAATATCAGTGATGGGGTCGGCAAAGCCTAAAATGATTCCGAAAACGATCAAAAATATGTCGTGCCGTTTGATTTCGTTTTCCACCATTGCTGTGACCTTTCTTAATGAGTCTTAAGAGTAGTTGTCAGAGAAAACCGGGCAAAATGTTAAAAATGTCAACGGAAGGGGGTCGACAGAATAAGTTCATACTAACATCATAGATAGGTCTGGTGGAGTAATGGACAAATATACCAAACATAGGTTCTTCACTGCTCTTGTATTAGAGATACGAGCATCACTTTTTTCGACCCCCTCGGACGCCATTTTTATAAGCAAATTTTCACCATTTTCTGAAACTCACATAACCCTCCAAATTTAACGAAGTTTATTTTTTGTATGCGATACAACACATCACAGAACTACTTTCAAAAACCATAAGATTTGTTAAGTATCCACGGACAAGACTAAAATTTTCTTATTATATCTGACCTAAACTCAGTGTCTGCAAACGAGCAAAAAATCGGGCATTTTTGAATTGATCTACAGCACACAACTAAAACGACAGAACAACTCTGACAGCCAAATTTTAGTCTACTATCATCCATGTAACCAAAACACTAATAATCATTTTGGGCCATTGAAACAGGAAAAAAAAAGAAAACTCACATTTGTTATAGTTTCCAAGCATTTTCTTGTAAACAGGCCGATCCCTTCGTGTTTGTTTTAAGTCCTCTTCGTGAATTTTCTTTCATATTTCGCTGTAAAGGATGTTTAGCAGCTGAAGGACATATCAAAAAGCTCGAAATACTGCCTAGGTTATATCTTCAAAGGGCAAAAAGTGCTGAACGATAGGATGAAACTAGAAAATAACAAAGCGACGCCATCTTGAAAATTCAGCACTCAGGAGGGACTGGCACTAGTAGCTGCCTTGTCCACAAGGAAGTCCACAAGTGATGAATTACCAAACAGATAAAAAAAACAAACAAACAAACAAACCGGCTTATCAGCGGTCTATTACAGTCCTATTTCTTCTTCAATTACTACTTTTAGTTAAATTGTTGTCGTTTTTTTCTTCGGCGGGGTGATGGGGTATGGTGAACAGGTGACCAATTGCCATTACTTTATTCAGTCTTCATTTGCTCTTCATTCACTTCATTTTGAGTTATCCCATATAAGTCTTAGCGTGTCTTTGGACTCTTTTTTGTATCATTTATTTTTGCGTCAGTCTTCAATCACCGTCCATGTCCGAGGGTCCACTCATCTCCTGTTTATGATTTCATGATGCACAGTTTCATAGTCCGGAAGGCTACGCCAGAAGGGTACCTCTTTTAAGCATCAGGTGTATCAAAGGGTAGCTAGGAAATCACAAGTTGAAGTATGTGAAAGGAGAGGAAAATCTTCCATTAAGTATTTTAAAGAGCCTATTATTAAAATGCTTCGAAGAAACACGCCTTATGGCAATATCATTTACATGTTAAGGTTACTCGAAAATGACCGGAAGACCTCCTTTCTTACCGATTTATTCTCACGAAGCAGATATAAAGGGTACAACTTTTTAATGGAAGATACACGAAAGGGGTACCTTTTGTCAAAAATAGTATATTTAAGGGTAAGGGACTGGACATCGGCGCGAAGCCTCTCCGAACAAAGCTTTATTGAGTAGCCTCCCACCCCTCCCCCCCCCCTCCCCCTTCTCCCTAGAGCTTTCCACAGGTTGCTCGCCAACTTTTTGGCAATTTGTAGTATTTCGAGTAACTTTTTTCGTTTCACGCAACTTTTTGCGTAGTTTCTGAGCAATTTCTCTTACTAGTTTTCTTCCAATTCTGAGATATCTGAGCAGTTTTTAGTGCCTAAATTGGCCTTGCTTCCATATTGCACAATGTTTTAGTAGACAATTTATGAATTTCCTATGAAAAAGGAGCCAGATCTAACAGATCCTCACCCCTCGGGGGCAGATGATGGGCGCAAGATGCAGCCAGGCTGCTAGGTCAGAGGTTTTTTTGAACAAAATTCGAAATGGCGGACGTCGATTCACACTTGACTGACACGAGTGTCTACGATGAAGAAGGTCATTCAACAATTTTAATGGCTCATACTACAGGGCTCCTGCTCATACTATAATTTTTACAATTATTAATATTAATATTGATGTGTAGTCTTTACTCATACATTTTTTTTAAATTGTGGTTTACGGGCTTCTGATGGCGGCCAGAGTTATTGTGCAACGCTAATTATGCTGCCAAATTGCACAAAATCACTTTTTTACACTCTACCAGGAGCCATATATATATAAGTCGAGGTAGTAGACCGTAAATGGATACCTTTTCCAGGGATGGGGCTGACCTCATTGAAATATATATCATAGCCATTAAATGTACTATTTTTAGCAAATTTTGTGCCATCTTGTGTGACTCGAACGCGCATTTTTTGCAACAGCGCCCTGGAAAGGATTAACAAACGAAATGGCGTTGGAAATTACCTCCGTAGCAGATGAATAAATTCCGTTTCTGTCATCAGTGCCACCTCTGAAGTTAAGGCAAGACCTTAACAATTACTCTAAATGTGAGGACTGTGAACATGGATTCTGCTTGTGATAAAAACGCCGTAGTGAGAGTATTTTTGACAAATCCAGTGACGAAGAGATGTAGAAGATGTCAAAACTCGAGTTAACACTCAGACCCCTTTTAAAAATTTTTGAACTGCCAAAAACTTGCATGGATCCGCCTTTTCTTTACATGCGACCCGCGGAACCGTAAAGTTTTTGAGCTACAAACAGTATTGCAGTCTATGGAGAATTTGAACGTTCCCTCTAAACGGGTTGCACAGGTAAAAAATTCGTCCGGACCCGTGGCGTTTAGCTTGTGTGGACCGTGAAAAGAGCATACTGAAAAAGAAGTGAGCAGGAAAAACAATGAGGGGAAGGGGTACGGAGTGAGAGCCGTAGGAACCCCTGTAATGGTACTTTTTAACAAAAGCTCCTTCCGGATCCTTCCGGTAAACCAGATCTGGTAAACCCTTTGAATGGTTTATTTTGACAGCTCTTGTCAACACTCTATTACCTTATGGAAATGCGAAGTGATAGCGATAAGATCATCAGTTACAAGGCTTACTTTCAAACCGAGGGGGGGACTCCGCATATGAAAGGGGTGGGGACGCTCGTCGGAAATTTTGAATTAAATCCCTAAAGGAGACCGATCTGGGCGTGGCCCAAGCTTTTTTTGATCCCTAAAAGAGACCATGTTGAAACACAGACAAATGAGAAAACTTGGATGATATGAATGGAGTAAATAAAACGAATTAAAAATATACANATGCCCGCTTCGCACGCTGATCCAACTGTTTATTTTAGGTGATAAAAATTATTGCAAATTTTACAGCAAGCAATATCTACTGCCCGTAGTTAGCCCGCACGCTTAGAAACTCGCGAGGTTGATATATAGCAAGTCCAGCTAGCTCCCATGAGAGCGAAGTTAAGTGATTCATAAAGAGCCAAAATAGATCTTTAATATTATCTACATTCACGGGACACCTCGAAATGAGGAGGGAATGAAGAAATTAACCTGCGATCAAGCGTCCTTCTTGTTTTTTCCTTTGAAAGAAAAACAAGCTAAATTCAACTAAAAGAAGTAACTGAAGACGAAATAAGACTGGAGTAGGTCGCTGATAAGCTGGTTTGTTTGTTTTTTGTTTTTATCTTACTAGTAATTACAGGAGCCCATAGGCTCCTGGTAATAGTTCGTCATTAGCCAACTTTCGATAAAGGAACTTCTTACATGAATCCGAGGCTTTCTGGTTACATTTCTGTATTAGGTTTGGTTTTCTATGTGCTCAAGTCTCTTTTGGGAATTACGAGACAACTGAGTCGTGAAAAATTTGCGATTTTTGTCGATTTTTGTCCTTATGTTAGATGTCGAACGCAGCTACTAGTGCCAATCCCTCCTGAGTGCTGAATTTTCAAGATGGCGTCGCTTTGTTATTTTCTAGTTTCATCCTATCGTTCAGCACTTTTTGCCCTTTGAAAATGTGACCTAGGCAGTATTTCGAGCTTTTTGATATGTTCTCCAGCTGCTGAACATACTTCACAGCGAAATTTGAAGGAAAATTCACGAAGAGGACTAAAAACAAACACGAAGGGATCGACCTGTTTACAAGAAAAAGCTTGGAAACTATAACAAATGTGAGTTTTCTAATTTCTTCCTGTTTCAATGGCCCAAAATGATTATTAGTGTTTTGGTTACATGGATGATAGTAGACTGCAATTTGGCTGTCAGAGTTGTTCTGTCGTTTTAGTTGTGTGCTGTAGATCAATTCAAAAATGCCCGATTTTTTGCTCGGTTGCAGACACTGAGTTTAGGTCAGATAAAATAAGAAAATTTTAGTCTTGTCCGTGGATACTTAACAAATCTTATGGTTTTTGAAAGTAGTTCTGTGATGTTTTGTATCGCATACAAAAAATAAACTTCGTTCGTTAAATTTGGAGGGTTCTGTGAGTTTCAGAAAATGGTGAAAATTTGCTTATAAAAATGGCGTCCGAGGGGGTCAAAAAAGGGATGCTCGTATCTCTAATACAAGAGCAGTGAAGAACCTATGTTTGGTATATTTGTCCATTACTCCACCAGACCTATCTATAATGTTAGTATGAACTTATTCTGTCGACCCCTTTCCGTTGACATTTTTAACATTTTGCCCGGTTTTCTCTGACAACCACTCTTAAATTCTAGAGAGAACTTTTTGTCTGATTCGCTTTACACATTG